GGTCACCCCACTCCCCCTTAACCAACCCATGGACTTGCTGATGAGTGTAGCTGTCTTGCTCAGCCTGACCAACAATCAGGCCTGAGTCTTTTGCTCACCAGTGGAGCCATAGCCCACAAGGGAAGTTTCCCAAGTTCCCCCACCAGGCCCACTCCCAGACCCAGATCTCACATGTGCCAACAGGTGCAAGGCCCTTGTCCGGCACAGTCTATCCCCTCTTTCTTGGCCTTTGTATGTGCTGGTGGATGTTGCGGCACAGCCAACCCCACACCCTATTTTTGGTTGTACCAGGTGGGTGCTGTAGCCCAGCCTGTTCCCTATCCCAGTTCCCATAAACTTAGTACTTTTTTTTTTTAACTTTTTCTTATTTTCATGTCATATTTTTCTAAAGTCTTATTTGTTTTTATTGGAAAATCAGATATACAGAGAGGAAGAGAGACAGAGAGAAAGAACTTTCATCTGTTGATTCACTCCCCAAGAGGCCACAACAGATGGAGGTGAGCCAATCCAAAGCCAGGAGTCAGGAGCTTCTTGCAGGCCTCCTGTGCAGGTGCAGAATCCTATTGGGCCATCCTCGACTACTTTGCCAGGCCGTAAGAAGGGAGCTAGAAGGGAAATGGAGCACCCAGGACACTAACTGGCACTCATATGGGATCCCAGCACTTAAAGGCAAGGGATTAGTCGCTGAGCCATTGTACTGGGCCTAAACTTAGTATTTTTAAAAACTTAGTATTGCTCTGCAATGAATTAAGAGGATTCCTCCTCTCCATTTCCCCATTTAGATAATGCTTTTGGAAAATGGAAATAAAGTTATTCTGATATTGTTCCAGTTGAATGTACAGATATTATGAAGATTTCTAGAACCTCAGATCTCAGATAACTGCCTTTGTGGACTTTTGTAAACTCAGCCTATGTAAACTTTGTCTTCTAAAGGAAGTTATTTTGAGTTTTCCTCAAGGGAATGTTATTAAAGAATTATGTGTCTGTAATGTTAACCAACGTTTAGTGGTAAATCGATCCTAGAATTTTTATCAGCTAGACATAGATTTTTGAGTTTAAAAATCCCTAAAGTTAATATTAAGCTAGAAACTCGAGTGACATGGTATCTGGATACATCCATTCCTGGAAAAAACTCCTTTGTTTGGGGAGTGTTATTTGGAGTGTGCAAATAAAAGCTGAAATCCCTAATTGCAAGCATTAGTGACCTTATTCACTTTGAGACAATTTAGAAGAGTTTGCTACTGTGAAATGCAAGTTAATATGAAAACAGCACACATGTTTGGGGTTTTTGCAGTCCCAAAGCAAAGGGCAATTTCAGCTTGCCACTTACTGGAAGAGATTGTATCCTCTTCACCTCAATGTAGTGGTCAATTTCATTAAAATCAATTGACTGGAGGAATATGATTATGCCCAATTATGTCTTAAAAACCAACTTGGACAAAAGATGCTAACTCAGGTGCATGGTGCAGAACTATTGGTTGAATGTACCCTTCCCCTGTTTCACAAGCAAGTTTTGTGGGAATTCAAGGGTGAAACCAGTTGTACGTAGAATGAAGAGTTGCAATCTGAGCATTTCAATAGATGGACAACTCAGTTTCTCTGGATCTGCCTGCATTTCTGCATCAGTAAAGCAGGCATTAAAATACCAACACATGGTTGCTTCATAAATCAAATATAACCAACACTGACAAATCATAATCATAGCTTATGGAAAACTTCTGTTGAGAACTTCCAGTGTGGCAGGCATTGTTTTTTTTAAAAAAAATTTTAAGACAATTTTTTTTTTAATTGGAGAGGCAGATTCACAGAGAGAAATAGTGACAAAGAAAGCTCCTCCATCTGCTGGTTCACTCCCCAAATGGCTGCGATGACCAGAGCTGAGCTGATCTGAAGCCAGGACCTGCAGTGTTCCAAGGCTTTGAGTCATCCTCCATTGCTTTCCCAGGCTATAAACAGGGAGCTGAATGGAAAGTGGAGCAGCCGGGACATAAACCAGCACCCACATGGAATGCTGGTGCTTGCAGGCAGAAGATTAGTGAGTTGAGGTATCACACCAACCCCACTAAGCACTGTTCTAGAGATTTCTTATAGAATTTCTCATTTATTTCTCCCAGAAATTCTCTAGTCTCTATTTTATGGTTGAGGAAAGAGACACAATATATGGAAATACTGTAAAAACTCAAACATGTTTAACAAATATAAAAATACTACATATTATTGCTATTATTTTAGAGATATTATTCTTTTTAAAAATATTTATTTTTATTTGAAAGTCAGATATACAGAAAGGAGGAGAGACAGAGAGGAAGACTTACATCTGATGATTCACTCTCCAAGTGGCTGCAACGGTTGGAGCTGAACCAATCCAAAGCGAGGAGCCTGGAGCCTCTTCCAGGTCTCCCACATGGGCATAGGGTCCCAAGGCTTTGGGCTGTCCTCAACTGCTTTTCCAGGCAACAAGAAGGGAGCTGGATGGGAAAAGGGGCTGCTAGGATTAGAACCGGTGGCCATATGGGATCTTGGCACATGTAAGGCAAGGACTTTAGCCACCAGGCTACTGCGCCGGGCCCAATGGACATTATTCTTAAGAGAAGTTTTTGGTCATAGAGCAGGAGGTATAGAGAGTTCCTATTTGCCTTCTGCCCCTACACAGACATACCTCTCCCATTATCAACATTGTCCACCAGAGTAGTACTTTTGCTACAATTGATGAATCTACATGTCATTATACATTGTTATCACCTAGAGTATCTAGTTTACATTAGGGTTCATTCTTGATGTTGAACAGGCCGTGAATTTGGCCAAATGTATTATGACATGTACTTGCCAATAGTATTGTATAAAATGATTTTGTTGCCCTAAAAACCATTTGTGCTGACTGTATTCATTCCTCTCTCCCATCTAACTCCTGACAACCACTGACCTTTATGCTATCTTCATATTTCTGCCTTTTCCAGGATTTTGTATGGTTGGTTGGGGTTACAGAACATGCATTCTTTCAGATTGGCTTGTTTTACTTAGACATTTAAGCAATGTGCATTAAGCTTCCTCAACTTCTTTTTATAGCTTGATGGCTCATTTTTTTTTAATATGGAAGAATATCTGGATTGACCACAGATTATGTATTCCTTCACCTTACTGAAGGATTCTTGGTTGTTTTCAAGTTTTGCTCATTGTGAATAAAGTTGTTACAAACATTATATGCAGTTTTTTCTGTGCACATAAATTTTCAGCTCCTGTGGGTAAATACAAAATAAAAAAACACCCAAAGAAACAGTGATTACTAGATTGTGTGACAAGGGTATGTCTAGTTTTGTGTAAAAAAAAAATCAATCTGTCTTGCAAAGTAGCTGTAGAATTTTGCACTCCCATCAGCCATGAATGGGAATTTCTGTAGCTTGTCATCTTCACTAGCATCTGAATGTATAGTATATCTTTTTGTTCCAATTTAGACATACTTATTGACTTATGCCAAGGACCATATTTCATATGCTTTGTACTATATGCATATCTTCTTTGCGGAAGTATACATTAAGATTTTTGGTCCATTTATGTTTATTTTTATTTGAAAGGTAGCAAAAGACAGAAACAACTTGTATCTACTTTTTTACTTCTTAAATGTTTGAGTCATTTCCAAATCCGATTGTGCTCTTATTGTATCCTAAGAGTTCTTTGTACCTTTTCTTTTGGGTAGCCATTTTGTAGAGATCTATTTTATTTATTTATTTATTTATTTATTTATTTATTTATTTATTTTTATGGAAAGGCAAATACACAGAGAGAAGTAGAGACAGAGAGAAAGATATTCCATCTGCTGGTTCACTCCCCAAGTGGCTGCAACTGCCCCAACTGAGCCTACCAGAAGCCAGGAGCCAGGAGCTTCTTCCAGGTCGCTCACGTGGGTACAGGGTCCCAAGGCCTTGGGCCATCCTCAACTGCTTTCCCAGTGGGATAGGAGATGAATGGGAAGTAAAGCAACCAGGACACAGAGCAGCTCCCATGTGGGATCTCGGCAGATGCAAGGCAAGGATTTAGCTACAAAGCTATTGTGCCGGACCCCTAGATAACAGTCTGTATCTGACATGATCTTTAAATATTTTCTCCCAGTCTTTGACTTGAGTTTTTATTGTAATAATTGTTTCTCAGAAAAGAAGTTTAAGATTTTGATGAAATTTAACTTAACATTTCTTTCATGGATTATGCCTTTAAGGTTGCAATGAAAAAATCACCACCATACTCAACTTTCACGTAGATATCCAATTGTTCCAGTGCCATTTGTTCACAAGGCTGTCTGTTCCACAGTATTGTCTTTACTCCTCTTCACAAAGATTAATTGACTGTGTTTATAAAATTCTATTTTGGCTACATATTTTGTTCTATTGATCTATATGCCAATTGTTTTGCCAATACCACACTGTTTTGCTTCTGGTAACCTCATGACAAATCTTGAAGATGGTGAGTGTCGGTATTCCGATTTTGTTCTGTTTAGTTGATAACTCTGCATCTTTATTGATAGCCATAGAAATAACTTGCAAGAATTTTTATTAGAATTGTATTGAGTCCATAGATCAAATTAGAGAGAAATGGTATCTTGAGTCTCCCTATCCATGAACCATGTATTCTTGTTTTATGTCTTTCATTACAGCTTTGTGGTTTTCCCCGTAAAGATCTTATGTATATTTTGCTAGGTTTTTGCTTAAGTGTTTTATTGTTTTTTGATGCTTAATGAAAATGATATCACTGAATGAAACTGAAAATCATATCAATTTCAAATTCTGCTGATTCATTGCTAGAGTATATAAAAGCTGTTGATATTTTTGCAATCACCCTTGTATATTAAAAATTTACTTTTTTTTATTCAATTTTACCATAACTGCGTATTGGTCCTAAAATTTGTAAGATAAAGTTTAAATGTACACATAGTATACTTTACCCCATTAATTTGATCTAGGTGCAGCAATGTTTAGTATACTTCACAATCCAAATCCGTAACATTTTCTGTTTCACCCTCTACAGAAGTGTGAAGACACCATGACAGTTACAGTGGTGTATGATAACTCGGAGGCAACAGAGCTCTGTGCAGCTCAGCACCTCTACCTCAAGCCTATAGCCAAACTGATGATCAATGTATTGCTCCCAGAGAGTATAGAACCTGTGAGACCCTTCTCTAACTGGGAGGTTCTTGACCAGCTGAAGAACCTGATTTGCCCTGACCAGTTCACCACAGTTCGGCTCTCCAAGAGTACAAAGGACTTCATCCGATTTGAGGGAGAGGCTGAAACCCGAAGTCTGGTTCAGATTCTCAAATCCAAATTACATGGGAAGATCATCAAGTTAAATGGCTTGAAAACGGACTTGAAAGTTGTGGCTACCGATGCCCAAGGAGAGTGGGAACATTTCCCCAAGAAAAAAGAGGCCTCACTGAGTGATGGAGCTGAAGAGCAGGATCATGATAAGAGTCCAGACGCCATCTATTTTGCAGGCTTGCCCTGTAAGTGGTTTGCACCTAAAGGTTCCAGTGGAGAGAAGCCATGTGAAGAGATCCTTCGGGTAGTCTTTGAAAGTTTTGGGAAGATCAAGAATGTGGATATCCCTATGCTTGACCCCTACAGAGAAGTGATGACTAGGGGGAACTTTGGGGGTTTTGGCTTTGGCTTGCAGACATTTGAAGCCTTTATACAGTATCAAGAATCCACCGACTTTATAAAGGCCATGGAGTCCCTTCGAGGAATGAAGCTGATGCTTAAAGGAGATGATGGGAAAGCTCTGGCTTGTAACATTAAGGTAAGAAGTAGCCAGGGTTTCTTTTTCTCCTTCTCCTCCTCCTACTCCTTCTTATTCCTCCTCCAGATGACACTGAGTAAAACAAAGGTAACATCTAGAATAAATTTTCCTAGACTTCATCAGGATCTGATCAATAACTAATGGAAGAATGTGTTTGTCATGAATAAATGTGTAGATTTTTCAAAACGTTTATGGTAAAAAGTGACAAGATAAGGTTATATTAGTGCAAAAGATTTTGAAATCCATTAATATGAAGGGTTTTTAACAAGTTCATAGAAAATGTATATTATAAAAAAACCCACATAATTTCCAAACTTTTTTCCACCAAAAACTTTTTTATTATTTTAAATTATTGTTTTATGATACAATTTTATAGGCTCTGGGATTTCCTGTCCCTCTCCGCAAGTTCCCTTCCCCCATTGATTTCCCCTGTAGTATTACAATGGGTGGTCCTTCATGAACAGTCGTAAGAACATCATGCTGAAAAACAACTCTCTTTTCACTCTGTTTTCCCAAGGACTTAAAAAAAAATTTAATTATCATTTTATGTTACAATTCCATAGGCTTTGGGATTTCCCCCACCCCCTACCCCAAATGTTATCCACCCCACAAGTTCTCCTATGTTATTACTATAATATAGTTCTTCATACACATTCATATGTTCATCATTGCGGGCATGGACAATGACAGAGAGTCCAGCATCCTATTGTCAAGCTATAGCTGACAGTTTCAATGGAAGTCCATCTTTGATCTGGAAGTAGAGCTGCATATTGCATTGTATCCTCACATTTGGATATGATAGTCTCCATTACACTGTTACTGTATATCCCCTTAAATGAAAAGCCACAATACAAAATGAACAACAGAAAGAAAAATAGAAATGTACAATGCCATGAAGTTCTCAAGAGGTTTTGAAAGTTCAACAGTCCTGAATAGCTGGTGATCCTGCTGCTCCAATCGCAATGAAATCTCTCCAGAATGCACTGGCTGCTATAGTCCAACTTAGAGTCTTCGTCTGCCAAGATATTCACTGCCAACACTTGGCTGGGGTAGTTGATCAATTTGTTCTGTCCTCTGTCCTCTGTTATGGTACTAGGTGTCCTCTGGAAGCTCCAACGTACTGCTATATCTTCAAGGTACATTTGGATATGCTGTCCACTGCTCCCAATACAGGGTCTGGCACATTTGATCACCCAAACCAGCCTACGCACATGCTGATAGTTGCAATTGCTGGGTCAGTTCTGTCTCCAGCCCCATGTCTTACGCAAACCAAAGGATGTTGGAGTCCAGCCTGATCCTGTCCACCACATACTCGGCCTTCACAAAAACTAGCGAGAGCTGCAGCTTAGCCTAGTTGAAGTGACCTGCAAATACTCCTGCCAGGCCCGCCCCCTACCCTGGTTCCCATGCTGGCCAGTATGAACAGCTGACTGATCCCATCTGTCCTACATCCCATTAAGCTCTTATACATGTCAATGGGCATTGAAGCCCAGTTCATCCCAACCAGCCCCACTGTCCAGTTCACACTGGTGCCAGCAGATGCCACCATCTATCTAGCCATGTCTGCGTCTAACAGAATTTGCCCTCATGCCAGCATCTGCCAGCTGATTCTGCGACAAAGCCCAATCCACTCACGCCCATACTGGCTTATGCATGGACCAGAAGGTACAGTCAACCCAGCTTGGCTTTTCCTTGATCCAGGTTACATGTAGGCCATTGGGTGTGGCCCTGCCCAGCCTGCTCTGCCCCCATCCCAGCTCTCATGCTCACCAGTGGGAGTATTGGCCCAGCAGGGGGCCCTCACATCCCCCTCATTGGGACCATTCCCCCAAACTCTAGGTTTCACATGTGCTGGTTGGGTGCTGCAGCCCAGTCTGGCACAGCCCCCTCACCTTGGCATTTACCAGTGGTGCTGTAACTTGGCCAGGCTATGCCCATCCCCAATTCCAACTCACAATAGTGGGGGCTACAGCCTAGTACAGCCCTTCCAGCCCCCAATCCCAGCCCTCATGTGGACTGGCTGGTATTGCGCTCTGACCCGGCCTGACTTACACTCCATTCTGGCTCACAGATTCACCAGTTGGTGATATGGACTGACCCATCCTGGCCTGCACCAAATGTATGCCAGTGGGTAGCATATTTTGCCCTGGTCTTGGCTGCTCCCCATCTTGGTTCTTGCACTCATCTGCAAGGAGCATGTCCCGACAGAAGAGTTCCCCAGGCTCCTCCATCCAGATCTTTCCCAATGCCAGATCTCGCTCACACCAGTGGGTCCATGGGCCAGTTCTACTTAGTCCACCTCCTGTCCTAGCAGGAACAGTGACCTTTCCTGACCTGCCCTCACCCATTCCAGTTCTTGTTGTTGGGTGTTACAGCCCAGCCAAACCTGGTCTACATTCAGACACAGGTCACACATGGCTCAGCACAGGCAGAGACCTAGCCTAGCCTGTCCTACACTCACCCTGGTTCTCACGAGTACCAGTGGGTGCTGGAGTCTAGCTCAGTCTGTCGCATCCCAGACTCAGCCCACACCCATGCTGAGGGACACTGCAGTTATATCCAGACCAGACAGCAGCCCACACCCTGACCCTCGCATTCTCCATTGGGGATCACAACCTGGCCAGGGTGTCCCCTTTGCTCCCCAGCCAGGCCTGCTTCCCTCCACAGATCTCACCCATGCCAGTGATTGCTCTGACCCAGCTTGGCATAGTCCCTCACTTGTCTTGACTTTTGCCTTTGGGTGCTGCAGCCTGGCTTGACCTAGCCAGACCTCAGTCCCAACTCTTACTGGCGGGTGCCGTAACCTGGCCCTGCTCAGTCTGCTCCCATCCCTGGCTCATGTAAACCGGTAGGTGTGATACCCTATCCCAGCATGACCTGCACTCCATCCTGGTTTCTGCACTTGCCAGTGAGCTAAGATCTGCTTGGCCCTCCCTGGTCCATTTCCTTCCAACAAAATCCACACACTTGCCAATGGGTGGGGCTACCTTGCCCAGCTTGCCCGACTCCTAGGCCTGGACCACATGCTCACCAGCAGGAGCTATGATTCTGAAGGGAAATTTTACAGGTCTCCCCACTCAGCCTACTCTCAGACCCGTATCTCACATGCTCCAGCAGGTGCTAGGCCCTTGCCTAGCATAGCCTGCCCTTCCATCTTGGCCTTTGTATGAGCTGTTGGATGTTGTGGGCTGGCCCACCCCACGCCCTGTTTTAGGATACACATGCAGGTGCTTACAGCTTGGACCTGCCCAGCCTATTCTCAGCCCCAGCCCCAACCCCAGTACCTATGAGTGTTGGTGGTTTTCATGTTCACAACTAATTCAGCCCATCACCACCATAAATCTTGAGCTAACCAGCGAGACTCTTATCTCCTCAAGGTTGGGCCCACTTATCCCCAACAGAATCTGCCCCAGGACCTTGTTCTCCCATGTGCTGGTTAGTGTCATGGCCCTTCCTAACGTGACCTGTCTTCTGTTCTGACACTCTGTAGGGTACTGGGATCTAGGTCTGCTAGACATGGCTCCAGCCCTAGCTTTTGTGTGGAGTGGCATGTGGTAGTCAGCGATACTCTGTGTTAACAAACCCATCTCAGGACTCCCATGTGGACTGGTGAATCAGTCTGGCATATTCAGATTTTCTGGTCTCTCCCCTCCAAACCACTAGGTCTCAGTCCCCTTGCTTACCTGCAAGTACAGTGGCTCTGCTGTTCGGTGTCCCTCAGGATTCATTCCTCACTTACATGTAAGGTGGCCTTAACCATGGATGTTTGTAGGCAGTACTTTGGCACTCCCAAGTCCCCAGAGATCGTCGGTGGGCAGCCAGTGGGCAGAGCCTGGTGCCTGATGGATGCACTGGCTTAAGATGGTGCTGGCTGCTTTTTAAGCAGTCAGGGCAGGCTGCAATCCCCACTCATCAGCCAAAAATGGCCGATGAAGCAGAGGTTCTGCCTCACGTGCCTGGCCTGCTCTCTCCACTGCCATGGACTTTTGGAAGTACCCTCACAGCTATTTACCAAGAATAATGATCTTGATTCTTCTGCTATCATGCATGATGCTAGATGTAATTTTATTTATTTTTAAAGATTTATTTATTTTACTTGAATGGTAGAGTGATACAGAAATATGAAGAAATGCACACGCGCACACACATACACACATATATCTTTCATCCACTAGTTTACTTCTCGAATGTGTGCAACTCCTGAGGCAAAATAATACCAAAGGCAGGAGCCAAACACTGTATCCAGATCCCCTAGGTGGGTGGCAGGGGCTCAAGCTTCCCAGGTACAATAGCAGGAAGCTGTACCTGAAACAGAACTAGGTTGGAGCTAAACCAGGTACTCTGATATGGGGTGCAGATGTCCCAAAACAGGGCTTAATTGCTGTGCCACAATGTCAGCCCCCTTTTTCTAATTTTAGAAAAGATTTGCATTATTTATTTCAGAGAGAGACAGTATCTGTGTTCCTATCCACTGGTTCACTCCCCACTGGTTGGAGCTGGCTTAGGACCTGAACCAGCAGCCAAGATTACTACCCGTATCTGCTTTACAGATGGCAGGAGGACAATCACTTGAGCCATCACCTTCTGCCTCTTTGAATCTACATTAGTTGGAAGCTGGAAGCAGGAGTTGAACCCAGACATACTAATGTAGAACTTAAGCCTGCTGGCTGAGAAGCTGGAGAGCAGCATGGGTGCAGATGCAGAGGGAATGTTGGGAGTTCATTTGGGTGTGAGTGGCCATGTACTATCTTACCTTTGTTTCTCTGGCCTGGAAAGCATACAGCCAGCTGGCAAAATTTTCTAACAAAACTTTGAATTGTTTGGGGACAGGTTATGTTTGACACAACCAAACACTTCAGTGAGGGAGCTATAAGGAAGAGAAATCAGGAAAGGCTAAAATTACAAGAGCTGGAGGAAGAAAGAAAGAAAGAAAAGAAAAGAGAAGAGGAAGTGGCTGAAAGGTGAGTAGACCAACTTTAATTCAGGCCTTTTCTTTTGATTTATGGATTAATCCTTCTGGATGAATGGCTAGACTTGCAAGATGACAGTGAGATGGGGGAGGGGGACAGGTGTTGGTGCAGACAGATCTCCACTGAACATTACAGTGTTTTGGCTATGCTGTCAAAAGACCTAAATGACTGAACTATTGAAAATGAGAGGCTTCAAAAAAGGTGTTTGTTACGAAGAAAAAGTAATGAGGAATAATGGGAGAAGCCAGGTTAAAATTTGTGGGGGGGGGGGTGGTGGTAATATTTTTTAAAAACAGGAACTTTTATAGTGAGAATATGAGCCTATTAAGTGAAAAAGATTACCAATTTACCAATATTAACCAGCCTACTAATTTAAAGTTTTAAAGTTAGGTCTTGGAAAGAGTTTCTTCTATAAAAAGTACATAATCAAACTAACCTAGAAGCAAGAAAACTTGGAATTGTTAAGACCACTTGTCTTGTTGTCCTGACTAATTTCTGTGGATTTGAGGTGCTTTCATACTGATTTCTTTGGGTTTACTGTTGCCTTTCAATTTAGAAGCTTGAACCTAGAAAGGGCTATTGGACCATCATCATCAAATATGTGGCAAGATAGTACAAATGAGCCAGAACTCTAGGGTTCTGAAAAATAACTTTACTTCCTGGCTCCTCCTTGTGCATGTATGTCACAGCATTTAAACAAGGAGCTTGGTATGCCCTTCTTTTTTTTTTTTTTTTTTTTTTTTTTTTTTTTGGCCAGTGGGGGTAACAAGAATCACTTGCAGCCACATCTATAAAAATTGGCTGGAGCTCGAGCCTACTTAAGAAAACCAGCTCCCCTGAGCCCCAGTTCCATAATTAACATCTGATTTAGATCATCTTTTGTCTGAGTCCTGGCTCAGGTAATTGCTCCTGCTTTCCCATTCTCCACTTCTCCAAAAGGGCCCAGTTGAAACAGTTTTAATCTTCAGAGAACATCAGCATAAAGAAAAACCAATGTGTTTCTAAGTCAGTGGGTTTTCATGATAATATACTGCATTAAGCGATATGTGTCAAGGCCCAGCTTCCCACTTCAAAAGTTTCTGAGTTCCTTGATTTATCTCTCTCTGTCTTAATTTATTTTACCTATGTGAAACCAGCTCACAGAAGGTAATGATGACAAGACAAATAAAATCATTTCTGTGAACTCTGAATCTGATAGTTCCTGCTTATGTTTTGAGAAAGTGGTTGCCACAGGCCCCTCCTTTAAATGCTTAGCCTTCTGATTTTGCTATTTTGCATAAAGTTTCCTTTTCTTTTTTGTAAATTTATTTATTTTAATAATGATTACATGGTTGATCAGGGTGGGAAGGATCTAGGTTTAGGGAAAATTGGGTGAATTCATTGCTTCCAAATTTGCAATTTATTTTTGTTGTTCCTGGGGCAAGGGGAGAAACAAAGGGGAAAACTATTCACGTGTGGAAAGTCTCCTTTTCTATGCTTCTGTCTGACCAACAAACTATGTCTCCTTCCCTTGACTGATGCTTAACAGTGTTTTTGGGTTTTTTGATTGTTTGTGGTTTTAGCCTAAATTGTCTTTGGCCCTGTGATTAACAATGGTAGAGTCTTGGAAGCCTAAAAAAAAAAAAAAAAAAAAAAAATCTGTTTTCCTCTGGTGGGAGAGATCAAATACCTAACAGATACCTTCTGAATGGTTTAATCTTAATCATTGTACAGAAAAAGAAAAGACGAGGAGAGGAAAGCCCAGGAAAAGAGGAAGAAGGCCAGGGTCAGGAGGCGAGCCCCGAAAGAAAGGGACAGACACCGGCAAAGGAAACAAAAGGACAAAGCCAAAGCTAAGGTGCCTCAGGAGCTGGACTCTTCACAGGAGTGGGAGGAGAGGAAGGACCTGCTGGCTCACAGGCGGGTTGAGGCCCTTCGGTTGCTACGGGTTCTCCTGAGGAAAATTTCAGTAAGGCTATTTCCCAATTGTTCTTCAACCTTGGTAGGTACTGATCTTTCTGAGAAACACAACTTTTGCATTTAAGCAGTGGTCTTTAGAAAACTTATCTTCATGAACGACTCATGGTATTCACTTGGGTTTGCTTGAAACAGGCTGCTTGTGGACTTAGGGAAAGGGTATCTACATTCACTAAAATAGTTGTGTGACTCTACTCCACCATCCAACACATAACACTTTTGGGTTTCTGAACTTCCGGGACTGTATCCCCTGGAGCAGTTCAGCTCTTTCCTTTCTTAAGTTCCTAATGGATGTGAACAGGAAAGTGCCAGAAGGCAATGAAGGGTGCAGGTGAGAGCTTAGTGGTGCTCTGCTAACTGTACTTGTTTCACCACTTGCAACAAGCTTAGGAGAGAAGCCAGAGCTCCAAGCATTGTAGTAAGCTCATGTTAGTCCAGTTTTAAATTATTTGGTACAGAATTTCTCACCTCAAAGCAACTGATTTGTTTGGAGAGTTTCCTTTGTGGAAGGAATTTCTCCTCCTTCCTGAGCACCCTGAGATAGCCAGACTCAGCAGGTATCCTGGATGAAATGCCAGGAGGCTCCCCAAGTGTTAATTTGAAAATACATAGTTGATTTTTTAAAGTATAAAGAGCGAATGCCATTAGTGTTATAGAGTTAATTCTTGGCCTGCTTCTCATTAGTGTGGACAGTGACACTTATTGAAACCAGGATCAGAAAAATCCCACATTTACATTTATAATAAGGCTAGCTGGATCTTTTTTTGTTTATCTTAATGATTGAAAAGAATGAGTACTTTTAAAGAATTTCTGTCTTTAAATGACTCTGAGGTCTAATTCTTGGTCCCATTACGCTTACGCCAATTACATGATCCCTGAGCTCTGATCTCAGGTAATGGGTAGGAACTTGTGCCCTGATGTGTATTAGGTGTCTATGGAAACTCAGCAAAAAGTCTCCCAGCAAGGTAGGACTGGAAACCAGCACCTTTCACCTGCGTTGCAGTTATGCAAGGCATATGACTATAGGTAAAAGCATAGTCATGGCTGTATTTGCCACTTGCTACCTTGTGTCTTTTTTAAAAATTATGCATTTGTTTATGTTATTTGAGAGAGAGAAAGAATCTTCCCTTTGCTGGTTCAGTTCTCAAATGCCTGCAACAACTGGGGCTGAGCCCAGGGCAAAGCCAAGACCCGAGAAAACTCCATCCTGGTCTCCCACCGGGATGGCAGGCAGTCAAGTACTCGAGCTATTACCAGTGCCCCCAAGGCTGTGTGCTAGCTGGACGCTAGAATTGAGAGCAGAGCCTGGACAGAAACCCAGGTACTCCAGTAGGGCTGTGGGTCTCTTAACTGCTGCAGCAAACACCTACACTCATGTCTAGCTTCTTGGGTGAGGCAGGGCAATTCAGAGACACCCTCACCTGCAATCCATAGTGAGAGGTCAACTTAAAAAGCAGAAAGACCACTTTTAAACCAGTTGACTCTCTTAGACACAAATTTCACCCATCTGTTCTTTCTTGCACCAGGATATTCTGTTTTTTTTTTTCTCTCCTCCTTGTTTCTCTAGCTCCTATTACAACACACCTACTAGAGTAAACATAATAATTTCTGAAGAGATGAAAAAAATACCTGCATACTTTGAAGGCCATGTAAATGTTATGCCTTCTGACATAAGCAGCTCATATTGAACATTGTATTTTGTGCTGCTCATTTCTTCAGTACAGTGTTCTTTCAAACTTTGTTCTATCCGAAGTATTAGAAGTCTATTCAGAGAACCCAGGGGTTGGTTTGTTTGTTTTAATATTTAAATCTATTTAGTTTTTCATGTGAGATTTTTAATCTTTTCTTTGAAGGGAACCACACAGGTTCACTCCCAGAAACTTACAGGCCCTGAAGCTAATCATGGGAACACATTGGCAATACTGGAGAACAAAGAGTCAAACACTCAACATCTTCAAAGTCGAGAAGCAAAGCCGGGATATCAAGTTGCCAAGTCAGCTAGTAAAAGCAAGCAAAAAATGAAGACAAGAACTGGGACTCACTTACGGAAAGCCTCCCATCACTTTGATAAAAAAACAGTACAACATTCAATTGGAAGTGAAAGGCCTGCAGAATTATTAATGGAGGGATGCAATCATAATTTGTTTTCTGATCAAAATTCCTGGCAGGGTTCAATGATACAAGGTCAGTCTCTTGAGGAAGAAAACCACCACAGCTCTGGTAAATCCTGTTCTTCCAGATTATCTGAAAGAGATGGCAGCAGGCAACAGAAGATCTATGAGACAGATGAATTTATCAACTACCTATTGAACTATTATCAAACTCCAAAATATGCCCGTGTCTACCTAGAACCAAGTCACATAGAAAGCATGTGTCAGTGGCAGAGGGATGTGTATGCTAAGGGAAATGGTTTTCAGGTCAGTTTGAGAAAACGCGGGCATTATTCAACCAGTTTGAACCAAGAGCAAAACCTGGAAGGGCAAGTACAGGTTCAAGAAGACGATGACTGTCTGAAGATATGTACTCAAGATCCTGAGCCTAAGCCAGAAAAGAGAAGAAAAGTGGATTATGCCAAAGATTGTACTAAGGGATTAGAAAATGATGACAAAGATGCAGCCAGTGAAGCAGGTGATCAGCCGCACCCAACTGATGGAAAGAGCCACCTGTCAGCAAAGACTCCCTCCCACCAGGTCAAAGATTCCACATCTGCAAGGCAAAGCCAAACTTTCTCATCCTGTGACTCAATAGACTTCGAATTACAGTTGACTGATTTCTTGGAGGAAATTAGTAGTGATTCTGAATGCTTCAGTGAAATCCTTAGTGTAAACAAAGAGGACAAAGACAAGTCTGTGGCCACATATCATAGCTCTCCACAAGGAGGCCCCCTTGACATTGATGAAGCCACTACTTGGGAACAGGCAACTAGTTCGAGTGAGCAAATTTTCAATTCTGAGAGGAAACATGATGGTGAGCAAAAGTACTCTAAATACAAACTGAGGACAACAGGCAAGAGATCTGTGTATGAACTTAGATATTCATGGTTTGAGGGCAATAGCAATTTCATTAGAGATGAAAAGAACAACAGCCAAAAAAAGAGAAAAGCTAGTCCCCCGCTACTTGTTCAATGAAGGATCTTACCATGAATCCAGTTCTAGTGATCCATCAGAGGAAAATACAAGAAAGAGGAGGAAGTTTAGTACAATTGCCCAGAAAGTAAATTATATACCCTGCCATGTGCCAATAACATCATCAAAAAGTGCTAATACTTTCTACTTGAGAGATTTTTCCAAAAGAGAGACTCCTTGGAAAATCAGAATATAACTAGGATGCAAAAGAAGATTTAAAAGATAGTTAAATTCTAAAGAATTCATGCTCAATCTGACAATTATTATACTAGACATAATAACCAGGAGCACACTGACTATGGAAGTTGTTTACGAGGGAAAATTACCCTATTTTATTTTATTGGAAATATTATTGATCACCACTTTAACCAGGAGCACCCTGATTCACCAACAAACAGTTTGCAAGAAGAAAATGTAAAACCAAAAATTGTGATGTAATTAGCAACTATGGAGCAAGAGAACTACACTGAAAAGCATTAGCGGGATCAAATGCAAAAACTTTGTTTCTCTTGCCAAAGTGTACATTAAAATGACTGCAAGTGTGTTAGCAAGCTTTCCCAACAAAACACACAGATTCTGAAGCTTGGTAAAGCAGTACACTTGTAGTTCTTCTTCTAAGGACAGACTTTTTTTTTTTTTAAACAGTTTAACTGCAACTTTAGTTTGGTGCCATGATGAAGATTAATATTGAGAGGGATTGATATAGCCCTTTATGGCTCTTTAGCTGTCACAACATCATCATTCAGTGTCATTTATCTTCAAAGATGACTACAGAGAACAAATAAGGGTCCTTTTACATGTTATTTGATTTGATCAGAAATGCCATGTGCAGCAACACATTTTCATTTTATTTAGGATTAAGTATAGATATAAGAAGAGATATGGACAGCTAGAACATATAGACTTGTTCATGACATTAGTGAGTTTTGTGATCACCCCCTGAAGGAAATTCAGCTTGCTGGGATGTTCAAGTACTCCATGAGTTGTCCCTTTAAGAGGCAAAGTTTTGGAAGAACTCGAAATGGGGTTCAAGTTGTCTTTTGAGACTTAAATAGATAAAGGGACCATTAGCAGGGGTGTTTTTTTTTTTTTTTTTTTTTTAAGAACTCCATGTCTTTCCATTAGGGGAAAACAACAGGATTGAAAGTGATAAGCAGTGGGATTTACAAAAGGCAATAGTGAAAGCTCCTGGGGCACCAACAAAGGCACTTGGGAAGTGAGGATGTGATAATATTCCATTTCAGGTTATGTAATCTTTTCACTCAGGGTTGGGTGACAGCAGTTTGTACAAAGTCACTGAATGTCCCCCAACTGACTTTTATACAACCGGAACAAGTGCCTCCTCTAATCCTCAGATGATGCCATGGAGTTAGGAAGAGTTGAGGGGAAAGCCCATAGTTTTCTAGCTGCAAAAAAAAAAAAAAATTATACATGTGCAAGATTTGTAAACTCTTAACAGAAGCAATTTATCTTTTTACCTAATTGTTTTGGACTTCTTAAATATTTTTAAATTGAGGTGTTTTATAGATTCTTAAAGACTTACATCTTATTTAAATGCATGATCTGTAGAAAGCTAGGCTGATTCATTCTGCCTTACATTGGATTTAGGACCTCAGGGGCAGTAGGGGATCTTTCCCCCACCCCCAACAAAGCTATCTAAACCTGACCTGGCAGTTGAAGACATCAATGAAAATTAGAAACTGTCTACAAACTGCATAAGGTGCAAAAAATCAGTAAAAGGCAACATTTTCACACAGCATGATTCATTTCCATCTTAATTTGCTTTTTTTTTTCAGATAAGTGCCAGCTGGCAGAGCCAGGTAAGACGCCAGTCTGTGTGGTTGCCCAAATGATGTCACACAATGTATGCTCATAACCAGCCACTTGAAAAACCTGGTGTCTGAAGGGGTTACAGTAAAATCTCCTCCTTTTTTCAGGAATGATTCATTTATTTATGTAATAAAAAACAAGAACAACAGATAAGGGGAGAGTTTCCATCTGCTGGTTCACTCCCTCAGTGGTCCTAACAGCCAGTCTCGGCCAGCTGAAACAAGCAGCCAGGATTTCCATTGTGATTTCCCATGTGGGTAGCAGTGGCCAGGCACTTGAGCTATCCTCTGCTGCTTTCGCAGGCACATTAGCGGGGAACTGGATTGGAAGTGGAGCAGCTGGGACTGGACCTGCACTTTGACATGGGATGCCAGCACGGCAAGTGGTGGCTTAATGTGCTGTACCACAAAGCTGGCTCCCAAATCTCCACACTTATCTCAAGAGCCACAGGTATGCTTCATGGGTCTCTCGTATTCACATTTTAATGAAGGTGTGTTAGTACACACAAAAAGTCTGAAACGATGGCAACATAGCAGATTGTATCTGTCAGTAAGAACCAATGAATGAATGATTTGTTGGCTCATTTCCACTTTAAAGCTCATGACCATGCCAGGTTTGGCTTGTCAAATGAAGAATGGCTCATGGGGTGAGTGCCTTTTCTCCTCTGAGGACTAGCAATGACTACTAATATTCAAAGTAGTGTTTTCCAAAGTAGCCTTTGAAACTACTAACAGCTTGTGTTTTGTCAGATCAACTTTCTGGCAACTGCATATTGTTCTCCTCCAATGAAAACCCACCTCCTTAGTTTTCCATGTTTTATGCCATTGAACAAAGAAAATTATGGATTTGTAATGGAAAGCAGCTATGCTTGTTTTTGGGAAAAAAAAAAAACAACATGATTTTCCTGTCATTTGGTGGCTTTTCTTTGTGGAGTTTTTAGGAATAGAAACAATTTACCGCTCGCTAAACATATGAAATCTCAAATGCAAAATACAGCATGTGCAATTTTTTGAATAATATAACTGGTGCTAAGTCATTTCTGTATAACAGCTCTGTCTTGTTTGTTTGCTCACTGTTGTCGTGGGACCTAAAGAAAGTAAGAGTACTGGATTTATGTCTACATTCCAAGCAACCCTGGGCTTTTCTAGCTGACTTGTGATAATGCATTCTAGACCACAGTCAATCTCTTTGTCTGCTTAGGCCTTCAGGGAGGAAGAGAACAACTATACTTTTCAATTGAATGGCCTAGTAAGGAATGGAATAGAATTGAAAATATAACCACCTTCTCTTCACATTAGCCTATTTTGTTGTGCTGTAATTTCAGTGGTGCAGAAGTATTTGCTGACTCTTTTCTGTGTCACGTAAGGGCCTGAACTTTAAGCTGTCTTTTTGATAAATAGGTATTTTCATGTTTTTCCTTGTATAGGCTGCTGCTAGTGCTGTAAGAAGCTAAATATCTGCCAATGTATTTTGGTTTCATTTGTTGGAATTTCTCAGGTAGAAAGCCATGTAACCTGCTAATTTTGGAAATAAGAGCCAAATAAATGTATTTTTCTTTGTTGCAGAAACTGTTTAGGATGTTAATTTTTAAATAAATGCTGAAAGTTCCACTCTGGGAGGAAAATGTCTACCTGTAGTACGCGGCTTTGCACTAATGTTGCTGACCTTTCTTTTCTCACTTGCCTTGTTAGAAAATAATGCCTATTTAATTTTCAGATCTATTAAAAATATTATTGTCATAGTGACTGTTGAGTCTGTTCATTCATCACATGTGTTGGCTAGACTCTTGTACACCCACATAGTCTTTAAGCATTCAAGAACTGACTTTTCTCAGAAAACTGTTTCTAGTATTGTATTACCTAAGAGAAAAATCTGGCCACTTTGGAGCTGAGCCAGTGTATTTTGGGCTCAAAGAGCTCTGAGACAGCAAGGGATGTGTGGATGCCTGGCTTGGATCTAAGATTTGCGTGAATTTGGCCCTGTGAGGCAAGGGGCACATTACATTGTACAGAGAAGCTGATGCTGAGAACATGTAGGGCATGCTACTTGTAAGCGGCAAGTGGCAGCAGTGAGAACCAAGCATCTCAGCAGCTGGTTGGATGACAGCAGGTAGGGAACACAGATGCCCACCTGACACCTCCTGAACGGGCCATGCAGTGGTGTCAACAAGCAAGCTCTGTTCTTGAATGACACCTTTTGCATAACATAGCTTATGCATATGCCACTGGTTTTGAGAAATTTTTCCAGTGAAGCCCTGCCTTACAGTAATATCCCTTTGCACATAATCAACAAAATGTTGATTCAGCCCTGAATGGAGAGGAATCAGGCTATTGGGATTGAGGCACTAATGAAGCTTGGGGTATTTTCCTTTTGGCACCAGACAAGGCTGTTTAACTTTGTAAAAGGAGTAGCCTTAATCTTCACATGCATATGAGATTTCAAGCTGCAAAGGTGGTTCAGGCAGTGCATCTATTGTAAGAAAATCTTGTGGGTTTCAACAATAAAATTATAAAACACTAATATTTGTGAACTAATAAGTTGTCTACATTTATATGGCTGATTGCATATTCAACTCTGTATATATGACATGAAGCTAACTTTGTTCCAATAAGGATTTTTGGTACTTTCCTGATCAGGCAATGTATTATCAACAAACAAAATTCTTCTTTGGCACTTGGTAATGACAATGTGTTCAGTGACAACATCCCTTATTAACCTTGCTATAGACTTCAAGGTGAGGGATGGTGTGCCTTTACAGCGTACAAAGTTCTGGTTAAGAGTCAGAATTTGATGGGCCACAAAAACAATAATTTCTTAGTAGGACAAGCTGGTATTTGGTGTGAGCTCTGAATGTCTGTCCCTTTATAGACTTGCTTCTTGTGGAATACAAAAAACCTACACTCAGTTGGACATTGGGGGCCAGCATTATGGTGCAGTGGGTTAAGCCACCGCCTGAAATACAGGCATGTCTTATGAGCGCTGTTCATGTTTGGCTGCTCTGCTTCTAGTAATGTAGCTGGGAAGTCAGCAAAAGATGGTCCAAGTGCTTGGGCTGCTGCCATAAAAATTATGGGAGATCCATATGGGAGTTCCAGGCTCCAGATATCAGCTGGCCCAGCCCTGAATGTTGTGCCCATTTGGAAATCAGCAGATGCAAGATTCTCTGTCTCTCCCTGTTTCCCTTCTTTTTTCTGTCACTCTTTCCAATAAAAGCAAATAAATTTTTAAAAGTATATTTTTATTGAAAAGATTTACAGAGAGAAAAAATCTTCCATTTGCTGGTTTGTTTTCCAAATGGCTACAACAACCAGAGCTGAGCTGATCTAAAGTCAGGAGCCAGGAGCTTCTTAAGGGTCTCACATGTGGGTACAGGGTCCCAAGGCTTTGGACTGTCCTCAGTTGTTTTCCCAGGCCACATGCAGGGAGCGGGATGGGAAGTGGGGCTGCTGGGATTAAAAAAAAAAAAAAGATTTATTTTTATCAGAAAGGCAGATATACAAAGAGGAGGAGAAAGAGAGAGGAAGATCTTTCATCCAATGATTTACTCCCCAAGTGACTGCAACAGCTGAGCTGAGCTGATCCAAAGCCAGGATCCAGGAGCCTCCTCCAAGTCTCCCATGTGGGTGCAGGGTCCCAAGGTTTTGGGTCATCCTCAGCTGCTTTCCCAGGCCACAGGCAAAGAGGTGGATGAGAAGGGAAGTGGATGCGAAGTGGAGATGCTGGAATTAGAACCAGTGCCCACATGGGAAGATGGTGCTTGGAGGTAAAGGATTAACCCGTTGAGCCATCACGCTGGCACTGGTACATTTATTTTTAAATGAAATCCTGCATTTTGAGCTAACGTATAATGATTGTGTTTGGTTGCATAGACAAAGTTTTAAAACATTAAGCCACCATACTCTATTGGGCAAAATCACTTTATTAACTGACCAAAGCACTTCATTTTGTTTTGATTTGAGGTAAAACCATTAAACAGTTCACAAGAATATACAATTGACTAACTACAGTTACACAAGTTTGAAACTTCACTAGTTGTTCAGATTTTACTTTTACAAATTCCTACAACTGTAGTCTACTTAAGCTATGTTTAGTGTTAACCAAAAGATAGATCGCACAGGTCTAGACATACTTGATTACTACTTCCGTGGTGACTATAGTTTTGTAATGACGTAACAACTGGTACCTTATGAATACACTTTGAAGACCACTTGGTTAGCGACATGGACCATTCCCTTACTTTGCAGAGGTGTGCATGAAGGTTCTTAGGTCAAACACCTGCTCCCATTCTAGATGCCCTTCTCTCATCAGATTGTGTTATAAAAAAAGGAAGGAAGGAAAAAGGGAGGGAGGGAGGGAGGGAGGAAGGAAGGAAAGAAGGAAGGAAGGAAAGAAAGAAGGAGGGAGGGAGGGAAGGAAGGAGGGAGGAAAGGAAAGAAAAAACCCAGATAACCATTGCCCCAGCACAAACTTGAGGATTGGGAATATGGATCTGTAATCCTCTTCATATATTTAGGTTTTTAGGCAAGCCAGCTTATTTTTTTTCCCCAAAGCTTTCTTCCAAATGTTGCAATCCTGTTGTAATCCTAACCGGGAGATTACTGTGTGAGAGTGTGGATCCACATGTGGATAAAAATGTGTGTATGTTTTGTTCTGTTTTTCAACTAAGCCCAGCTGTGGGATTTCGTTTTGTTACTGGACAGCTCTTTTTAATCAATCCCAAAGCCTTTGGAACACTGCAGATTTGCTTTAGAGGTAGATAAAACAGAAATCATGCAGTTAAATCAAATGAGAAAACAAGGGATTTTCTGTCTTTCAAGAACATCAGTACTAAACATTGATCCTTTGCTGTTAGTGCTGTTGAATGTGACACAGTTCTACCTGTTGGGGAAGCACTCCAGCCTTACCTGTTTCTCAGGGAAAGCAATCTTAAACCCCGCATGTACTTAAACTACAGACGGAAGGAAAACATCATCAGTATATGCAGTACGGCACTGCACTGCACTTTCTGCATTCGTGACATTCAGCCATACCATGCAGCTTCAGAAAGAAGTTAATTGTACCATGGTCACTAGTGATGTTAGTTAAAAAATTTACAGCGAGTTTAAAACTTCTCTAAATATTGCAATCACTATGTTTTAAGGACAGACTGGAATGTTACAAATGATTCTGTAAAATACAAAAATAGATATGCTTCTACTGAAGCCCTTAATCATTTTTGCGAGCATTCTCATCCTTCGGTTCTTCATCGTCTGAGTACACCGTGGGCTCCTCTCCCTCCTTCAGCAGTTTGCCCACAAGGTGATACTTGACTGGATGTAGAGAAGAGAAGACAAATGGTTATTCTCATATTTCGAGGGCGAAAAAAAATAAGAAAAACAAGAACACTACCTGATCTCATTTGAAAACATCCCTTGCTGATTTAAACACACTTAGTAATGTGTTAAGCTTCCTGAAAGATAAAAAGGTGGTTTATAGCACAGTCCTTGATAACATAAAATAATAGCTTTGTGCAGAAGGTAGAAATATAACAGGTAGCAGCATCCAACAATGAGCATGCAAGGTAACATCAGAATGAATGGCCTGTGCGCTAGGAGTGCCTGAAAGAGCAAGGCCTGCTGATGAGTTAGAAGGGTTAGAAAATGTATATAAAGAGTTTGGTGAGTGGGAGAAAGTTCCAGAATATTACAACTCCACGTACAAATATGTATAGGTTAAGACTGAATGTAGCTGGGAAACAATAAATAAACCAAGCAGGCAGAGATGGGATCTACAAAAGTAGAAGATAAAGTTAGCTAGGTAGTATGGGTAAATATTGTGAAATATTTGGAAGGTGAGCCTGAGGAGTTTGGACTCATCCCACAGGGAGTAAAGTGCATGGCAGGTTCATGAGGAAATGAATGACATGGTAAAACAGTGCTAGGATCACTGCGGTGCCAGGGCAGATTCCAGTGCAGAGACTGGCAGCAGGGTCACTGGGAGACAAGTGTGCAGAGCCAGGTGAGAAGGAGCCAGGGCCAGCGGGGCAGGGTGTGATCTTACGGAAATGGCAAACAGGGCAATGATGCACTTTGAAAGAAAACTGGCAATGCAAATTAATGAAGTGAAAATTGGATGGAGCCCACGGACTCAAAATGGACACTTTGCAGAGGGAGCCAAGCCACTCTAGAGGGGCACATGACAGGAAATCCATAGTTGGAAATTAATATTCCAAGAAGCAAGTTCCTGGAAACTCCTGAAAAAGAAGAGTTTAATCCAACCATGATGATGGAAGCCACAGTGTAGGGAGTAAGGATGCAGAGAGAGGAGACGAGTTGGAGACAGCAACTTGTTCACAGTTTGCCAGTAAAGGGCAGGAGGATAAGAGGATGGCAGAAGACAGAGGCTTGTACCTACCATGGGCAAAAGCCTGTGGGTAATGAAAGGGAGTAGTAAATGAGCCAGTGGAAGACTGAGGATGTTGGAGACAGTCTAAGCTGGAATGCACACACTTGTGAGGGGATGCAGTCAGCCAGCACCACAGTGTTGCAGCTAATCTAATGCAGGGATCACCATCTCCACGGCAGAAGCCAAGAGCCCTAAGTCTCTTCTTTATGAATATGCATAGCTATTAGAGGAGTAACCAAGTTGATCAAGCAGGTAACCAGAGCTGCTTTTGTGTGAAAGAATCATCGGGAACACAAGTGGAACTTCCCTGTTTGAACCCAGTGCAAAGGTCCTTAAGGTGCTCTGGGCTGGTAGAAAGTAAATAAAACCCAGGTGGCATCTGGGAAACCTGCCCTAAGGGGAATGCACACGGGCTCAGTGTGGGCTGAGGCGTCACAACAGCATTTAAGAGTTAGCCTCAGTTTACGTGAGAAAATGATCACACATTTCTTCTCACTGATAAAGGTGAACTCCAGAAAATAAGCTAAAAGTCACAATTTGCCAATATCCTATAAAACATGCTGCCATCACAACGCATCCATAGGGTGCAAACAACTGGGGACTATGTTAAGCAGCTGAATTACATTTTCTAAGTAAAAAGACTTGCCTAAACATGTGAAATCTAAACTTAGTGCGCCAGAGATCCAAACTAAAAAGAAGGGCTCTATCTAGCTAATTATTCACTAAAAACTTTCTCTCTCTGAAGTCAGCATTATTTCTCAAGAAAATGGTTGGCTATAGTCAGTCAAAAGACAATGTAATATTAATGGTAGAGAACAGTAAATAATAATAAAAAACATTTTAAATGAAATCTTCCTCCAAGAAATAGTCTCGATACTTATACACTGTTTGGGAAAAGCTGGGAAAGATTACTGTTCAAGGTCTTGGCAACAAAACATTGTAAAAGTGATAAACATTTAGTTCAGAACTTAACCACTCATGCTAATTCTAGAACCTCAAAGACCTCAGGCCGTTAACACCAGCTGGCAATGAATGTCTGTTTTTTTGTGCCTTTCTGAAAACAGCAGACATCATCGTTGCTGGGCAGATTATAAGCATCATTGGTAGATGTGGCCTATGGTTAGGCTCAATTCAATTCAAAGAGAAGCTGTGTTATAGAACACAAGTCTATTCTTCAACAGCTATGTGGGCTGCCTTTAACCAATGAGTTCCACAAGAGAAGACTTATGAAAACCCCTGTTTCTATAGCCAGGAGGGCTACTGTCCTTTTCCCCTAAACACCCAGCATGCCAAATCCTAGTGTGGAATCTCTGCGCATTTCTCAAAAATGTAACAACACCAGAAATGGGAAGGTCAAGTTTCCACAGAGGTCTAGCTAAAAAGTGGTATGCAATAATAGCAAGTGACTCAGCACTACTGCAATTACTCCAAGCCGTAAACTCAATCCGTCCAAGATTCAGGAGCCTATCAAATGCACCCAAGTTTCAGGCTGCTTAGTAATAACTATTGTCCTGCCCCGAATCCCCATTGCTGGTAGAAATTTGATCCATGCACAAATTGAAAAAAATGCTTACAAGTGAACTGCGAGTCCCAGTCACTCAGGGTCTCCCGCTGAGAGGCAGTGAGGTCAGACAAGTCATCATACTCATCCTTCAGGGCTTCCTTATCCAGGCAAAATGTGGCAAGGCCCCTGGAAGCGTCTCTTCCGGCAAAGACCCCATATGGCCCCTCTTCAGAAAGAAAGCAAAACCAAAGACCAATTCATCATTAGGTAGTCAATATCTTTCCATCACACACAGAAAAAAGTTTTGTTACTCATCATCTTAGAAGGCCCCCTTTTTGAGAATTCCATTCTGAAGCCAATGGATACTGAGGCTTTGGAAAGCATGTTGGGGGGAGGGACAGTGAAAGACCTGTTGTCATTACTTTTAAACAACCAAATCAAATCGCTACACATTTTCATCAGTCTCCTGTGATTTCCAAATAGCTTATTAAAAAGTCATAAATGGTTATCGCCCAAAGTGGTAGTGGGGTGGTGATGGTGGTGACAGGGAACGACCTGAGATATGGTTCGAATTTAATTGCAGGACATCAAACCTAAAGCCGAGCTCTGCTGTAGGCACTTGAGTTATAGCATTCTTCAGGCAACAGACACTGAGGTGCAAATGAAAACATTTCCTTCTAAATGTTTTCTGAAACATTTTAATGAGCCAAAGGTATCTTACAGAGATTTGAGGTTGCAAGACTTGATTAAACATTAGCTCACATCAGCTGCAAGATAATTTCATGGGTATCAGAGAATCAAGTTCAAAAAAAATCTATCCACGTGTTACATAACCTTCAGTGTCAATAAATCCAAGCTGGAACAGACGAAATGAGCTTCATCTTCCTGTTTTGAATTGGCCTTGAAGGCTGACTGAGCATGTGCCAAAATTTTCATGGAAAAAACAACTGAATCCATACCCTAAAATAATTCAGTAAACCTCAGAATGCTATTGCCAATGCTATCACACCAAACTTCTAAAAAAGCAGTGAATCATTCTGAAGGTACTTAAAGTAGATGTTTGCACTTATTTAAATATTGTCCAAGTAAACCAAAAGAATCCAGTGCACTTCAAACAACATATTGTTTCCAAAAAGGTAGATTGAATAGCAACCACAACAGACTAGCAACCACTACAGAACGCAACAAAAGAAAGGGGGAGGGGGGGAAGCTTTATCAATCTTTTGGAAATGTACACCTGTGGTGGAAATGGTAGCAGCAATGTTCATGTAGGGAAAATGTGCTGGTTTGAAACTCAGTATTTCATAACGTATGGTCACTGGATTGCTAGAGCAGACACAAACCTCAGTGCTGAGTAAAAGATTAAGGGGGAGCATTCTGAGTCTTTGCAGACCACATGTCACTCACTAAGAAGCATGGTCACTAGAATGAAGGCTGTATGAGCAGGGGTCTATATCCATTTTGCTCACTGCTATACCTCCAGGGTCTATATGAGGGTCTCCAGAGAGCAGGAAGCACTAGAATGAATCATTTTAAGCGATTCTTTACAGCATTAAATAGCATTCCCACCACACTGCTACCACATATTCACGGGCTGACTGGAGGATAGTGCAGACAGAGAATCAAAGCTCTCGCCACAAGCTTCCCCCCCCCCCCCGCGGGAAAATGAGGGCCTGGTGGGAACAATGCCGTGCACCAGGGTCACACATCTGGCCTGTGACCCCCAGTGATGACTAGGATACATGTCACCATACGCCCAGTTCTAGGTTCTGTGTACAGGCCTACATATCCCTCAATGACTTGGCAAAATACATTCAATCATATGATGATGCCCCACGCACATGTTTGGACTGCTTTACAGTTCAGTGCACATGATTATGTTCATTGATAGCTAAGTGCACTATTTTGAGCCGTCAGTAACGTAAACGAAGTTTTCAAATTATCTTAACAGGTGCATGCCTATGGAAAATAGGCATTTTAAAATATTTGTAAGGAAGAACTAAGTGAGCAAGAGCCTTACAGGACCTTAAGATATTTAATTTCGACTAGCTGGAATGAGAAAGTACAAGCAGTCATGGTTGCAATGCATTTGCAGCCCCATCTGGGCCCTTTCTCCTCTGAGACCACACCTCTATATAACTCCCCCAGGTTTCCAGATTGGATATGCTTAGAGAAATGCCTATTTCCTCTCTGACAATTCTATAAAGCAAGAGTTTTCAAAGCTGACTCTTTTCTCGGATTCACCTGTGGGATTCAGGCATCTCTGCCAGGGGCTCATCTATGTTTACGGGGGAGAAGCCTGCAGTCTGTACTCGCTCCCAGATGTATCAGGTGATCATGTTAGGCAAAGCGTTTGGGAAAAGCCTCCTGTCTGAGGAGTCTTTCAAGTGTGCCCCCCAGAATTACTCAGCAGTCTGCTAGCCCGTTCCCCCTCCGGGTTCTTTTTTCCTAAAATCCTCCTACCCAGTAGGCTACCCGCTTTGTTTCTCAGGATCCTCCCATATCACAATCCATTTTTCATTTGTGGGACGGGAGTTTCTAGTGTTTCCTCTGTTGCTAGAGATTGAATGCGTTGTTACCTTTTCAGCCTGCCTCGTTGCCACTGTCCACCGTATTCAGCCTTTATTTCTTTCTGGAATCAGCTCCATTTCCCCTTCCTGAGCCTCCCTAGTTCACCTCCCAGCCTTTCCCGGTCAGCAGGCGCACACACATACCAAACACAAGCTCGACTCACACCTAACACATTCCAAAACGCACGCGTACACTTTCACCACCACACACCACACACACTACGCCTGCACAAACAGTGCGCGCGCATGCACACTCACACACACCACTCGTCACTATGATCTCCTTTCTTTCTCAAAGCAGACACCAACTCCTCCTTCCAAGATCCAGCAAATCTGCTATCCTCGAAAACTCCTCGAGCTCCCTGCACTCTGATGTGCCCCCAACCCCTCGCGGTGCCCCCCAACCACCACTTTAAGCGTCTTAGCCTTTTTTTCCCTCCCTCCCCATCACAACATTGGCAGCACGGGCTCGGATCTGTGTCCCTCTAGCTGCCCCCGCCCTCCACTGGCCCGCAGCTCCTCGAGAGTGCCTCTGGTCTCCCGCCTGCGTGAGGAGTCACCCCGCCAGCACCACCCGGCTTCCAGCGCTCCCGGCTCTCTGCCCGCCAGCCTTCCTTGGCTCACCGCCATTGCTTTCCCCACTCATGGGCTCCCGGTTCCCTCCTCGCCTCTCCCCAAGCGCAGCACTACGCTGGGGCCCTCTTCTTTTGTCTCCGTGCCGCACCTACACACACACACACACACACACACACACACACACACACACACACACACACACACACACACACACACACACACACACACACACTCTGGCCACCATACCGGGTCCATAGAACTTGCGGCCCTTGGTCACGTCGAACACCTTGCCGTTGATGGCCATGAGTATACGCGGGTCCTGGACGCCGTCGAAACGCCGCAGCTCAGCAGGGGTGAAGTCGCGTCGCTTAAGGCGGGGCAGCGGGGGCGGCTCGTCGTCGTCGCCGTCGCTGTTCCCGGGCTGGTCCCCGCGCACGATCTTGTAGAGCAGGAAGATGCAGAGGCCAAGCAGCAGCAGGTTGAGCGGCGACGTGAAAATCTCGTGCAGCAACCCGCCGCCTTCCAGTTCGTTCAGGTCGGCGCCCGTCGCTACCACATCCTCGGCAGCCATGATCTCAGGAGCAAAGGTTGGGCTAGGCTAGACAGAGCTCCGGAACTCGCTGCTTTCCCCTCCCTCTCTGCGAGCTAGTGGCGCGCCGAGCTCGGTGGCGGAGGAGAACTTTAACCAGGGAGGGGGCGGAGCCTGCCGCCCCGCCTCCCCGCCTCCCCGCGGCCACCTCACGCCCCGCCCCGCCCCGGCGCGTGGGGCCCGGTTCGGCTCAGGCCCCCCACAGAACCCCCCGCGCTCTTGCTTCTCGTTCCCCAGCCTGCCTCCCGTTGCGGTGCCAACGAGTCCAGCCCTCGGTTCTAGGGCACTCAGCTCCCCGCGCCGGCCTCACGCCACAATGTAACTTCTCATGACGCAGCACGCAGGCTTCCTGGGCACCCCTTGTTGCTCCTGGCCCAACGACACGCTGGGTGGGCCTTGGCTTTGGGGGAGTGTTGTCTAAGGACCCCTTCTTCACCTGATGTGAGAAAGCACCCCTTACATTTCTGTTGTTTCAGGACTCAACCCCCCCCCCCACCTCAGGTTTGACAGCCATTTATCTCCAGCCATTCCCCCAGGACCCAGAAACTGTCCAAGGGAACAGGAGTCTCGTTCCTTGAACTCCGTTTTCCACCCCCGGGATTTCCGTTCACTTGCCTTGGACGTCCATGACCCAGTTCTCCCTGTGACACCCACAGGATCAAGACAGCCACATGCCTGTCTTGACAAATCCTCCCAACTTCTGGGCAAACAGCTTGGATCAGTGGATTTACTTAGCGTGCGTTCTCAGAAGATAAACTCTTTTGCAATCACTGATTTGCTTAGTCACTAAGATATCAGCCAGCGGAGTTCTCTTGTTGCACTTTTCTCATCCCCAAAACCCCCATCCCCATCTCTCATTAGTTGCAGAGAAATAGCCAAACTTCCTTTGGCAACTTCCTTATATTGGAAGTCTGTTGGGGTACCCTTGGCAGTCACAACACCCCTAGCTGGGTTCCAGACGAAGGCAGGAGTTTGCAAGGATCATAAGCTTCCAGATGGCTTCCTTTCCTAAGTGTTTCCTTGGCTTTTAGGTGCTAGCTGACTACACATGAGCAAGAGTTGTCAGGGCCCTTCACAATCCTGATCTGGCGGTCCCGTTTTTATTGCGGCAGTAGGAGCAGAGCGGAAGAAAGGGTACAGAGAGGGGAGACAATGAAAGCCAAGCCATGCACACATCTGCAGCTCAGAGCAGTAGTTTTCCATCAAAAATTCTGTTCCCTTGCGCATAGCTTAACTCCCCCACCCAACAGGCAAGAGTGAAGCAGAGAACTGCCTTTTTACCTCGGATTTCTAAAAATTTCTGGCAAAAACTGCTTCCATTCCTGCCCTGCTCACCCCACCCCCAGCTTTTTAAATCATTTTAAAGTGTAATGAGCCCAACAATCTTTATATCAAGCCCACACATTCTTTTTTTTTTTTTTTTTTTTTACAGAGCTAAATTTAGATGAGCTGAAATGGCCCCCGTAGATCTTTTGTCAAACCTCTTCAATGTAATCACGGAGAAACAGGCTGAACCTGTGGCTCCCTGCTGCAGTTGCTCTAATGAACCTTTTTTTAATAAGCAAGAGACTTTCACAAACTAATTAGAGTATGAAAAATACTTTTATTTGCAACTAATGAGACAAAGGGTTGGTATCCTTTTAAGAAGTCAATTACATTGTTAACAAAATCTGAAAGATTCTATTTGGGAAATGAAAACCTTTATGAAAGAGGGTGTATCAAAGGTGAACAGTATATGGAAAGTGATCTTCCTAGTTCTAAAGAGGAAAGCAGCAAGACATCAGCTTGTTGATGATACTGTTAGGAGGAGTGGGAAATGGCATAACCTTTTGCTATTCATACATGTCTCTCCTACCCACTTATCCCACTTCTAGAAATCCACTTGTTTTAGAAGTCTCTGTAAAAATTTTAAATCTTGGGCCTGGCGCGGTGGCACAAGTGGTTAAAGGTCCTCACCTTGCACGCCCGGGATCCCATATGGGCGCCGGTTCTAATCCCGGCAGCCCCGCTTCCCTTCCAGCTCCCTGCCTGTGGCCTGGGAAAGCACTCGAGGACCACCCAAAGCTTTGGGAACCTGCACCCGCGCGTGGGAGACCCGGAAGAGGCTCCTGGCTTTGGATCGGCATAGCATCGGCCCGTTGCGCTCACTTGGGGAGTGAATCATTGGACGGAAGATCTTCCTCTCTGTCTCTCCTCTGTGTATATCCGCCTTTCCAATGAAAAAATAATAAAAATAAATCTTAAAAAAATTTTTTAAAAATCTTATTTATTTGAAAGATAGAGACAGAGAGATCTTTCATCCATTGGTTCACTCCCCAATTGCCCACGACAAGCAGGGCTGAATCAAGGCTGAAACTGAAAGCCCCGAACACAGCTTAGATTTCTCACGAAAGTGACTGGGACTCATGTCCTTGAGCCACCACCTGCTGCCACTCAGGGGGGACAGTGACACGAAGCTGGAATGAGGAGCAGAACTGGGGACCAGAACTGGGAAGTTCCAAACAGAGCCAGGGACCAGAACTGGGGAGATCCAGGCAGGGCTGGGGACCAGAACTGGGGCAGTCCAGGCAGAGCTGGGGACCAGAACCGTGGCAGTGCAGGCAGAGCTGGGGACCAGAACTGGGGCAATCCAGGCAGAGCTGGGGACCAGAACCATGGCAATCCAGGCAGGACCGGGGACCAGAACCATGGCAGTGAAGGCAGAGCTGGGGACCAGAACCGTGGCAGTCTGATGTGGGATGCAGATGTGTCAGTGTCTGACCACTGTAGCAAACACCTGCTCCGGAAATGTGTGTGAATTCCACTTTCAGCATCCATGGCGAGGAAAGACAGAAATGCAAAGGTTTCATTACTAGGATGCTCACCCGAATTTCATTTCTAACATAAAAAAGAAACAACCTAAACATACAAGTAAAAAGGACAATTAATCGACTTGAATTGTATGACATGATTATACAAGTATTATCATAATATGGGAAAATACTTATGTTTTAATCCGAAGAGAGATGCAGAATAATACAGTATGAATTCAGCTATGTCCCCCAAATGACTAAAAGGAAGCCTGAAGGAAACACGCTAAAATGCTAACTGTTGTAACTTAGCTTTTCTTCACACTTTTCATACTTTCCACAATGAGCACAAGGCACTTTCAGCCCCGGACAAAAATTGTATGCTATTTTTCTGAAGAAAATGTGGCACAACACTGCGTGCTCTGTACAACAAACTTACATACTAGTGCATACAGTGAGAAAATAAACTCATTTTTCTCTCTCTATAGCACCCCAAATAATATTTTTTCAAGACTTGTTTTATGGGGCTGGCATGGTGGCATAGCAAGCTAATCCTCCAACGGTGGTGCCGGCATCCCATGTGGGTGCTGGTTTGAGTCCTGGCTGCTCCATTTGTGATCCAGCTCCTTGCCAATCGCCTGGGAAGTCAGCGTTCGATGGCCCAAGGCCTTGGGCCCCTGCAGGCATGTGGGACACCCAGAAGAAGCTCCTGACTTGCAACTTTAAACTGGGCCAGCTCTGGCTCCTGAAGACATTTGGGAAGTGAGTCAGCAGATGCTTCTCTGTGACTCTCCCTGTCTATGTAACTCTGACTTTGAAGTAAAATAAATCTTTAAAAAGACTTATTTAATTGAAAGACGTAGGTTTATGTACAGAGATAGACACACAGAGAAAGGGGCGTCTTCCATCCTTTGGGTCACTCCTCAAATGGCCACAAAGGCTGAAGCTGGGCCAGGCTGAAGCGGGGAGCCAGGAGCTTCATCCAGATCTCTCACACAGGTCCGGGGCCCAGAAGTGGGCCCTCTGCTGCTGCTTTCCCAGACGCACGAGCAGGGAGGCAGATCGGAAGTGGAGTAGCCAGATCTCCAACGGCACTCATGGGCTTAACCTGCTACTCAGCAACATCACCACCCCACCTCACAAACACAGCTTTTAAGGAGGACCCACAAATAGCAGTTTGCTTTATATTCTTGCAGGCATGGCAACACACACACACAACCATTTTGTTTTACAAGACTTGGAAAAACGTAAACAATAAAGATTTTACCAGTGGGTTTTTTGGTCGTAATAAAGAAAGCACATAATAAAACAGCAAAGTAAAATAAACACAAGGCATTAGCTCCACCAGATAATCCCTGCTGGACTTTTAAAAAGTTATATTTAGATTTAGATTTTTTTAAAAAAAGATTTATTTATTTTTATTGGAAAGGCAAATGTACAGAGAGGAGGAGAGACAGATCTGTCCGATGATTCACTCCCCAAGCGGCCGCAACGGCTGGTGCTGCACCGATCTGAAGCCAGGAGCCAGGAACTTCTTTCAGGTCTCCCACATAGGTGCAGGGTCCCAGTGCTCTGGGCCGTCCTTGACTGCTTTCCCAGGCCAGAAGAAGGGAGCTGGATGGGAAGTAGAGCTGCCGGGATTAGAACTGGTGCCCATATGGGATCCTGGCACTTTCAAGGCGAGGACCTTAACCACTACGCTATCACACCAGGCCCCTATTTTAAAAATTTTAAGATTTATTTATTTTTATTGGAAATATACGGATAAAATATACGGATAGGAGGAGAGACAGAGAGGAAGATCTTCCGTCCATTGATTCACTCCCCAAGTGGATGTAACGGCTGGAGCTGAGCTGGTTTGAAACCAGGGGCCAAGAGCCTCTTGTGGGTCTTCCACGTGGGTGCATGGTCCCAAGGCTTTGGGCCGTCTTCAACTGCTTTTCCAGGCCACAGGCAGGGAGCTGGATGGAAAGCAGGGCTGCTGGGACTAGAATTGATGCCCATATGGGATCCCGGGCATGTGCAAGGTGAGGACTTTAGCCACTAGGCTACCATGCTGGGCCCTCAATGTCTCTTTTTTCCCATTATATTTACTATTTTATACTGTATGATATTATTTCTCATGTTTTTAATCTCCTGCAGCTTGAAGATGAGCCACACAAGCCAGATATTCTCACCTATGTTCTCTACTACTGTGGCTCTTGTTCTCACAGTAGCTCCTGGCATATCTGTGGAATTGACTTGACCATGGAAACTTGTTATGTTAAA